CAAAATTTTAGCAGTTCAAAGCAGCAAAGATTATGTCACAGTTCCTGTAGGTCAGGGGTCTGGACATGGCATTCCCGGGTGGTTCTGGCTCTGGGTCTCTCAGAAGCTCGTGTTAAGCCTCAGGCCTGGACCAGCCAGGGCTGGAGGGTCCCCTCCCACTTCCGGCCTGGGATGGCTGTTGGCAGGAGGCCTCAGTTCCTCTCCACAGGGCTGCACGGGGGCCTCATGGCCTGGCAGCTGGTTGTCCACAGTGACTGGTTTGAGGAAGATCAAGGAGGAGGATGCAGCGCCTCTTACGACCTGATTTTGAAGGCACACCCTGTTTGTTTGGTCTGTCTGTTTGAGACAAGGTCTCACTATGCAGTTCAGACTGGTCCTGATCTCACTTTGTGGCCCAGGCTGGCCTCAGACTCACAGCAGTCTTTCTGCTTCAGCCTCCTGAGTGCTGAAATTACAGGTGTGTGCCACTATGTCCAGGGGGCACAGCTTGTTTACCGCTACTGCTTTCTATTGATTAGTCCAGCCCATACTCAAGGGTGGGGATTTAGCTGTACCCCTCTCTACTTTTTGCAGTACTCGGGATAGAACCCAGGGCCCGATGCATGCTGGACCAGTGCTCTACCACTGAGCCACATCCCCAGCCCTATGCTTGCAGGGAGAAGCATCAAGGAATTTTTGGACATGTTTCAAAGCCTCCAGGATCCCCTAGGTCTGTAAAATGGGTGTGCTGCCTTTTCCATTAAAGAGGATGGGGCATTGTAATGCATTCCAGAAAGGGATTAGCATATCTGCTCCCTTCTGCTGTACCTGTGGGACCAGGGTTTGCAGAAATGAGTGTGTTGGTGTAGAGAAGTTACGCTGTAGGCTAAGCAGCAGCAGAGCTCAAACCCCAGCAGAAAGGGGGACCTCAAATAAAGCATATATTTGGGCCCCAAATAATTCAAAGTTGAGTACATTTTTCTCCACTTTTTTTTTTAAACTCTACAGGTGTGGCAGGAAAAGTCAGGGAAAATATTAGGATGAGAAGCTGAAACAACAGGATAAAAATGGGCTTTGGAAGCTGGGCATAGTGGTGCATGCCCGTAATTCCAGTACTTGGGAGGCTGAGGCAGGAAGATCACTGCAAGCTTGAGGCCATAGTGAGTTCAAGGCCAACCTGAACAACATAGCAAGACCCTGTCCCAAAAGAAAAGAAAAATGAAGAAATAAGTGAAAATAAAAACGGGCAGCAAATCTCAGGGGCTGCCTGTCGGCCTTTCTCTGGCTCTGGTAAAAATTTTGTCTCCTTTCAGAGACGCAGTGTTGTCTTCTGCACAGTGGGGTTCTGTCTCCTCCTCCTGCCTCCCGGGCATGCAGTGACAGTGGGACATGCAGCGGGTGTGAAATGAGGAACAGAGTCCCCAGGTGGGACCAGAGCCTGCCCCTGTGGGAATCCTGCCTCCTCTTCTTTTCCTCCTGCCCTGCTTCCTATTATTTGCAGGTTTTTTTGGGGGGCATGGGGGGAGTTTTGTCTGCTTATGGCATTCAGACTGGCCTTGAACTCACTGTGTAGCCCAGGCTGACTTTCAGCTCAAGGTGATCCTCCTGCCTCAGCCTCCCAAGTGCTGGTATTCCAGGTGCAGCCACCACTCCTGGCGTAGCGTTTTTCTCTACAACCACACTCACCTTGTAATTTCGAGACTCCCCTTATCCCCTTGTTTGCTGGCCTCAGCCATGAGCGCCCGTCTCACGTCACACAGGAGCACTGGCCTAGGAGAATGCCAGGGGCCCACGGAGGGGAAGTCGTGGGGCGTGCACAACACCCCAGACCTTTGGGGTTCTAGCTTGTCCTCCCCACCTTTCTTGAAATAGAGGAAAAAGGCTGGGCAGGGTGGTGCATGTTTGTGATCCTAGCACTCGGGAGGCTGAGGCGGGAGGATTGCCACGGCTTTGAGGCCAGTCCGGGCTACTTAGTGAGCTCAAGTCTAGCCTGAACTACATAGGGAGACCCTGTCTCAAACACACACACACACACACACACACACACACACACACACGACAGAATAGAAGAAAAACCAAGCCAGCATTTCTGTACTCCCAAGTGCAGAGGCAGGCCTCATGTTGGACACGGGCGCATGCATCTCAGCATTACTTTTTTTTGTTTTTTTTTTTTTTTTTTTTTTGGTTTTTCTCCGGTACCGGGAACCGAACTCACGACCTTGTGCTTGCCAGGCAGGCGCTTTTGCCGCTGAGCTAAATCCCCAGCCCCTCATCTCAGCATTACTGTTGGCAGAAACACAGCCTCACTTTTCAGATAAACAAACTGAGGTTCCTGGGTGTGCAGTGCAGGTAATGTAGCAGCCTTAAGGAAGACAGCAGAGCGGAGAGAGCCTCTGAGGAACCGAGACAGGCCTCTGGGATCGCTGTGCTTATATTCCTAGCTGAGGCAAGTACGACTGAGATCTGATTTGACCCCCAAGGCCCCCAGTCAGAGGTCTTTGCTGGGTCATCTTGTGGGGCTGCTGAGCTCCTAAAGGTGACCTGTCAGGATCATGCGGCTGGTGAGAATATTTATAGGGTTGTTGCTGGGTGCTGCGTGACACAGATGAATCCGATATGGTCACTGCCATCAAAGAGCTAAGGAATTTGTGACAGAAAAAAAATTTTTTTTGTCATGTGGACTGCCCGGAGCTGTTAAGGTGGTCTCTACTAGGTTATATATCCCCACATCCATTTGTTAGTGTGGCAAAATTCTTACTCAAAGACATTTGCCTGATGACGGTGCACAAAGCTAAGAGAGTATAGGCGGGTGTGGTGGCACGTGCCTGTGACCCTAGCACCTGCAAGGCTGAGGCAGGAGGATCACTTCAGTTTTGAGGGTAGCCTGTACTACATAGTTCAAGTCCAGCCTGAGCTACATGGTGAGACTCTGTCTCAAAGAAAAAAAAAAGCAAGCTAAGGCAGAACACCCCTTGGCCTGTTAATATTCTTATAAATAGGCAAAACTGGCACCTGCTGAAAAACCCAGCCAGTTGCAGAGAGCTCCAGTCTGGCCTCCTAGGCAGCCCCCTGGAAGGTGCTAAGGAGTGGGCTTTGCCATAAATGAGCTCAAAGCAGTACTGGGCGCAGGGCATTGGCCAGGGCTTCAGGGTTTTGCCTCCAAAGCTGGGCCTGCTCAGGCTGTTCAAAGGGTGAAATGAGCTCATGCGTAGAAACAGCTGTTATCAACAACACTTGAACAATTAGAACCTATTAATTAATAGGGCTGGGTAGCCCCAGTGAAAAGTGTTCAGCCGAAGAATGGAGAAATGGAGGTACTGCTGCCCTCGCAGAGGCCATGGCGCCTCCTGCCGCCCTGCGGTTTGGGGAAGGGTGTGGGGAGTGCAGGCGCCCGGTGACCTGGAGGGGTGGGACTTCTGATTTCAGCTGGTCACCTCCTGCAGCCGAAGCCAGTGGTTGAGGCTTGGCTGTGTCTTCTACGCTCGATTGGACTTGGGATTTGCCAGGTAGGCTAGGGGCGGGAGTGGGGAGCTGTTCTGCTGAGCCTCAGCTTCCTCATCTGACAAATGGGGACAGGTCTAGAAATGACCTGAGAGGCCGGGCGCCAAGTTTTGCTTCAGCAATGCACGTGTGGTCGCTTCTGGCTCACGGTCCTCCTCTCAGTGCGTTCCCCCAATCCTGCTGTGAGGCCTGCTGTGAGGCCAGGCTACACGGCTGCTATGGGGGCGGGCAGGCCCAGGGAGAGCCTCCGGGGACGCAGAGTTGAACTTGAGGTCACCTCCCTTGTGTTAGGAGGGCCCAGGAAATGGCTCAGAGAGGGGAAGTAAGTTGCCCAAGGTCACGCAGCTGGTCTCGGTGAGAGCCCCATCCTGCCTGCCTTGGCTGTCGTCCCGGGACCTGACGCTCCCCCGACACCGAGCAGCGGACCTTCCCTAAGCTCTGCCAGCTGGCGGGGCGCGTTCGGGAAGGTGGCTTTGCTGCGTCGGCACCCCCGCAGCAGGGTGGCGTGCACACTCCGGGAGAACCCGGGCGCCGCGGTCCCC